CACGGATGGGTTCCAGTCAAGTGTTCCGGCCACACTTCGCCTCAACTCTGCATCCGTGGTTGGGCGGCGATAAAAGTGTTGTGGGTGGTTCCTCGTCATCCTGGCACTCCCCTTTTTCTAAGCCACACCACTACGCCCACGCCCACTCCTCCACCTCGCCCGCGCCGCACTCCAACACCTACGCCTACTCCTACACGACTTCGGGATTCTTCTCATCTGCCTTAAACAAAGACGAGACGATGGCAGGCAGTGCGGGGGGCGGCGGGCCCGTCTCAGAATACTCCATGGGTGGAGGCGACGACGGCTCCGACCTCAAGAGTGCCCCCATGCTCTCCCCCCTGGGCGCTTGTGCCAGCAAGAGTGGGCGTGAAGGTGCGGGCTTTTCCTCCACCCCTGGGCACAGCGGGGGCGTTGGGGAGGCCTCAGCAACGCCTCTCCTTCCCTCCTACCCCCCCTATCATGGCTCCTTGGGAGGGGGGTCAGAATTCCCCAACCCTTACTACCCGCCTTCCTCACACTTCAACAAGGCCCTCGGCCACGACAAGCCGAAGTCGAAGCCGCGTTCCTCGGCCGGTAAGACCCGACCATTCTTGCGGGGTGTCCCCTACCTCTGCCCTCCAGTGTCTGCTGCTGCTGACGCTGTTGCTGTTGCTGCTGCTGTTGCTGCTGCTGACACTGCAGCTGCTACTGACGCTCTTGTCTGATGGCTGCTTCTACGGCTTCTTACGCTGCTCACACCTTGAGTCCTCTCGCGGAAATGAAGGGCTTCTAAGCCAAGATGGTGTCGGAGTAATTCTAACATTACAATACGTCGGAAAAAAATAAAGAATCCCTATCATAAAACAGTTGATAAGGTGATGGTGGTGCGTGCGTCGCTCCGTCTGGCAATGCTAGTCTCAAGTGCCTGGCTCTGGATAATAGCACACACCTGTGCACAGGTGCACACCAGCAGCAGTAAACCACACTCCTCCACACCTGTCGAACCTATGCCAATCACTTTTCATAGCTTAACAACTTATGCCACAAATAATCGAGTAGTAGCATAAAAATCCTAGTTGTTTCTAAAAGCAGTTGTCATTTGTTTTCGTTTTTTCAGCTTTTGAAGCTTTTGAAGCTTGTATGCAAAAGTGACAACAAACAACTCACTCTGAAAACATTATTGGGGAGGAAACTGTCAGTTAACAGCAGCATCGTCAGTCAACAGAAGAGATACTCCTGTGACATCATCATGATGCTACGTCACAAGTAGTGTGATGACGTTACAGGGGGAAAGGGTGGACGTAGTGATTCCCCCTTCATAGGCCCACGCTCACTAACCCCTTCAAGCTCTATAGAGTGGCACCGCTCCCCACTAACTCTCCGCCAAGCCCATCTCTTAGCACGCCCACGGAACTAACCCCTGATTGCCACTACCAAACTAGACTTCTCATTCTATATGCACTAACTAGACTCTCTTAGATTTAGCACTCAGTCTAGTCCCTGGAGCCACCAACCAATCAGATATCTGGTTATTCATCAAGAATCATTCATAATTCAGCATGATAAGTAGGACTCCGCCTTGCAATATGATTCTCTCTTCCGTGGCTACTTCAGGGTGCTTGATGGTCCTGTTCGATGGTACAAGATCACTGGCGGTGTTATCATGAGCGGCCGCCCAAACTGAGTTATCGCGGACGGGTTGTGGTGCGCACCTCACGATCACTGATTTATCAAAGATGGTCGCTACTCGGCTTCCTAGCGAGTCAGGAGACGCCTCTGACCTCATTGATCAAAAGACGAATTACCCCGCAGTCGACAAGTCTCTCGCGACGCCTCACATTAATCCCAGAAACTCAAACCTCCAGCTGTTTCCCTAAACACTACCGGATTAACAGTGTTTCTCCTCCAAACTCGTGTTTCTGTGGGAGCGAAATCAAACCAAATTTTCCTTAAAAAGAATTCGTTGTTTCATCTGTTTTAGAGTTGAATCCAGCCTTCCGGACTTTGACATACAATTCTTAAAAGAATTTTTGTAGCTGAGTGTGCGTGTGCGTGTGCGTGTGCGTGTGTGTGGTGTGTGTGTGTGTGTGTGTGTGTGTGTGTGTGTGTGTGTGTGTGTGTGTGTGTGTGTAAGCGTTTGGCGGAATGTAGTTAGGGTACATATTATGCAAATGGCTATCGAGATTCATATACCTTCAATGCGTTTTGTATTCCGGTTGCTGTTAGGACGGTAGTAGTTACGGGCTGAGTCTTGTCTGCCATCAGCTCTCTTGCCAGCCTAATTATAGCAAATTTATGTTCACATTGAACATAGCCATTTTAGAAGTGATTTTGTTTCCAATAAAATTTGAGACTTTAATAAATTAGGAGATGATAATATATGGGAGGGAAATGAGGACGCTACAGTATATAACAAAAGCTATTCTCAGATGCTGGAGTTTGTTAGCGTACATTTAAATTCAACTTCATCAGAAATTGCTGGACTTTAATTGCACCTCACTGATATGAACAGCAAAAGACGAGCTGATTCAAAATTTAGAGATGAATGTTTCATTCTACCAGGAGGCCTGGTCACAGACCGGGCCGCGGGGGCGTTGACCCCCGAAACTCTCTCTCCAGGTAAACTCCTACCCAGAGAAATTTGTAGTCTGAAATAACTGTCTGTACACTGAACACTTAACATGTATACAGGTCGTACATATCACGTCTACGCTGATCATACACATAACGTGTACATATGTTTACGTGAAGTGTACATAAGTCGTCGTGCACTTGACGTACATAGATCGATGTACTTAACTGATAATTACCGTACTCGCGATCACACTTAGGTGACAAATACTCTATTTTGGATCAATGACAGGTGTTAATTATGACTATCACACACACTGAAGCTCAAGGCCTTTCTGACTATAGATAGTCCTTCATCAGGAGTTTGCAACAGGAGGGAGTGGAAAACAAATAAGGAGGCGAAAAATTCAGGAGCCCGTCAGAAACATATTGTCACTGGAATAACGCATTTGGAAAGGCTGCGTTGTTTGGGTTGTTGGTCTGTTCCACTGAGAACAAGCTGCTGAAAGATTCCCGACTTTTTTACCTTATTTTTCCACTCTCATTGCAAATTCCTGATGAAGGACTCTCAAGAGCCCGAAGTTCTTGAGCCTCATTTTCATCATCCCTGTGACCGTGTTGCTGATATGAAGCTAAATAAAATATTTAGGAGTTCTTATTAACGGAAATTAAAGTCAACACAAACGTGCATAAGTGCTCTCACTAAAGCTAACAGAATTCTAAACTTCGCATCAGAAAGCATAAATAATAGAAGTTACACTTCAATTTTATTTATCTCTGGTAAGGACACATATAGATTATGTTGCTCGGCTCTGGTGTCCATACTACAGAATGGACATAAATGCACTGAAATACATAGAGAATGATGACAAATTTCATTGTAATTTACTAGAAACCTTTCCTAGGAATATGTACTGAAGGCACTATCTGGAAATGCGTAGAATTAGGTTAGATATGACAGACGTGTACAAATGGAAAATAGAAATAAAGGGGACAATAATAGTGCTGAAAATATTTAACCAAGACGGACTCGCAGCAACAGATTAAAGTTGCGGAAATTTAGATTTAGAAAGAATTTAGGGAAGTACTTGTTGGGCAATAGAGTTGTTGATAAGTGGAAAGAAACTTCTAGGTAGCTTCACTGAGGTAAGGACTTTGGGTAGATTTGAATAAAGGTTGGACGAGTACCTGTCTACCAGCCACACTAAACAAGCAAATGTCAAACTCTTTTTATGATTTAACTAATGGAATGAATCCCCTTAAATTAATATAGTATATCTTTGATTACTAAGTCGAAAGCTGTGTATTTTCTTGCCAGTTATTTTGTTTTACTCAATATCAGACATTAATGAGTAGACTAAACACGGGAATAAGTGTTTCTAGGCTGTGGGATATTATGGCACTGAGTCGTCGGGGGAAAAGAAGGTTAAACGTGCTTAGATGGAACATAAACCCGTGTGATCATTCAGCCCAAAGGAGTGGTAGAGGCTCGAGTCTCCGTGTGTCAAGCATGAGACAGACATTTGTTCCCATCTGGTTTCTAAAGATCACTGATGATTACCCGTGTCAGGTGTTGTATGTCTTGTATGGTGGGTCGAAGTAGACGTTATCCAGCAAAGGCACAGATGTTTCGGTTATATTAGATATTATTTAGTAAGCAGTAACACACAGGTGTTACGATTTCTATCAGCATTAATTCACGAAAAAACAGGTGTTTTAAAATTACCTCAGATATACATGATATCTAAGACAGGTGTTTTAAAGTTATGTCAGGTGTTATTCAACACGCAGCAACACACAAGTGTTCCAAGAGTTATATCAGATATTAAGCAGAAAACAATATTTCCTAGAAATATTAGGATTATATTTATTATCTGGATATTAAATACACAGGAAACAATTCAAGTATTGTAGCACCTGGTCGTAAACAAAGTCAGCAATATGGCTATTAAAAGGGTAAGACAAGGGCAAGACAAACACAGCAGGGGTGGAAATCTTTACTTGTGTATTTCTTCACCCCTTGTTTACAAGGGGTGAAGAAATATTAGATTAGCAGTATACTGCAGTATACTGCGAGTGGTTTCAACCAGAGTAGGCGAAAGTCTGCCCTCCCAAGCCAGGCAGACAAGTATAATGTCACCTTAGCTAGAGAAGCGTACTTTCACTTGATTGGTGGGTTGAACTAGACGATAAATACAACTGAGGGGCCCCAGAACTGCTATACTCTGAATTACCATTCACTGGTTGAGAGGGCGTGTCAATAGTTAGGTGACAAACGTCGAATAAAATGTAAAATACCCAGCTCACGCCACAATATAAAATATCAACACAAGAAGTTTTAAAGCACAAACTTAAATAAAATGAAAATTCAACACGTGTACACAAAACAAGTCTCTATCGGGACAACGTTTCACCTCTATTAAAAGCTCGAAAAGAACTAGTCCGCGTCAGGGGATTTTTCTGTAATAAAAGAATTGGCAACATCAGTACACATATGTCACTGTCGACACGCTTGTATCTTTGTTGACACGCTTGTCGGTGTTTCAGCCACCGATATCAACGTCTCCGATGTTGAGAAATGTTTTGATATCTTGTGATGTACAGAGCTTCGATATCTCATGATTTAGAAAAGTTTCGTTATCTCGTGATTTACAAAAATGATATCTCGTGATTTACCAAAGTTACGATATCTCGTGATTTAGAAAAATTTTAATATCTCACGATTTACAAAGAGTATTTCCTAATGTGGATATGGAAATGGATAGAAATGACTCTTGTAGTCGAACAAGGCTTTAAGGGGAAGACGTTTTGCTCTCAGGAGATAGACACAAATACTGACATGTGGCATCCTTTACTGACAACGTTTCGCCTAAGCAGTGGTGTTTTCCACGTCACAAACATGTTCTACTTGTGACTCGATGAAAACTACTGTGTTGGGTGAAACTTCAGAATCTCACACTATCACCCACCCGATCCCCAGTTGTGTATATCTCTCAATTTATATATCCTGTGAGTTTACTTTA